TTAATCGAACATTTAGATATGATTCGTGATTTTCCTGTCGAGCCGATGTATTTAATTGATTTAGGCGTTACAAAAGCTGTAGTGAGTATGTGGTGTTTTGGTAAACCATCAGTAAAATTATCTCATGCACAAATTACACAAATTTCTGGTTTATTAATAAATCAAATTAAAAATATCCCTTTAGAATTTAATCGTACACCTAGATCATTAGAAGAAAGTAGAAGATGGAAAGCTACAGAATTTAGACAATTTTTATTGTACACAGGTCCTGTTGTTTAAAATCTGTACTTAATCGAGACAATTATCTCAATTTTATGTCTTTAAATGTAGCTGTCACTATTTTATCGTCTCTCCATCATGTTAGATATTTAGATTACGCTAATTCTCTTCTTAATTATTTTGTAAAAAGTTATATAATTTTGTATGGCAAAGATAATTGTTCAATTAATATTCATAACTTATTACATTTATGCAATGATGTAAAAAAGTTTGGAATGTTACAAGAATACAGTGCCTATCCCTTTGAAAATCATATGCAAAAGATAAAAGGATATATTAGAAAAAAAGATAAACCATTGCAACAAATAGTTAATCGTATATGTGAAGAAAATTTTGCAGAATTAAGTAAAGAAAATAATTTGAATGTGAAACCCAAATTATTCAATAAACATGATAACGGACCTTTAAATCAATTTTTGTGTACTAGTCAATGGGAAAAAATTGTATTTTCTAATTTTACTCTAAAAATAAAAGATCCAAATAATTGTTGTAGTTTAAATAATGGTGACATTGTTTTAATTAAAAATATTGCTAGTAACGATAAAAATATAGTAATAATTGGAAATAAATATAATTCAAAAAAAGATTTTTAGAATGAACCATGTAATTCTTCTGATTTGGGTATATATTTAGTTGATAACGTTGTTAACGATCTTCAAAGTTGGAATATAAATGAAATATCGCATAAATGTATAAAATTACATTTTAAAGATAAATTTGTTATTTTTCCCTTACTTCATTCCGCGTCTAATTGAATTTTATAGATTTTAATATATATATATATATATAATTTTACTTTTCTATATAAAATAATTTTAATTTAGGATTATTTAAATGTCATTTTACAATTTATTTTTATATTTTACAATTAAAATTATTTTAGATTATATTTATTAAGATCATATTTTACAATTAAAATTAATAAAAATAGAAATGTATTTCTTAAATATTAAATTTATTAACTTCTCAGTATTTTTAAAAATGATGAATAATATTCCAAAGAATATTATTATAATATTCAATTGTTCTGAGAATATATATACCTAACAAATAAATTTTACGATAAGATAAAAAATTGAATTCCCTTCTGTTTGTTAACGGCTTGATTCCAAATATTTATATAATATTTAAAATGATCGATTTGAAGTTGCGTACACAAATTGTTAATAATTTGCAGGAAAAATGACAAAGACATGGACTATTCTGATTTTCACTGATGAAGATTGTGTTGAAGTAGTTCCATCAAGTTGGATACTAAATGACAAATGTTATTGGCCGACGCTTACACCTGACAAGTTGAAAGCTGCAGTAAAAAATCACGATGCACTTGATACTTCTTGGCCTTCATATCCTATTCGGCTTATACGAAATGGAATTTTTTGTAAATATATTACTTATTGTGTTCTTATGTATCAATTAACCAAAAGTATATTTATTGCATTGTCGTCATGTTATATTTATTTTGTTTTAGATGATTATTCAACAGCAGAAAAAAAGTGTAAACGGACGGAATATTCGTCCGATGTAAATTCTGACAGATTTAAACAGAATGAAACAGAATCTGACAGAAATAAAAGGGAAATAATAAAAAAAACGTTTGGCTCTTCATTTGATAAGGATAATCTATCATCATCAGACGATAATAATAAATTGCCGACTAAATTGCCGACTCCTCCAAATTTAACGAATGGTTCGTATGCATGTATTTATTTGCTACATTATACAAATTTTGTTAAAATTTAATTATCTTATAAATAAAGAGACATAGTAGTATCTGGCGTTATTTTACTTTTTAAAATCTTTTTAAAATAAAAGTATAACGTAAATTTTTAGGGATAAAAGAAAACATTCGCGAATACTTTATAAATTCAAAAAACATTCAATCATTTAGTTCCTAATGTTTTCTTCCAGACACCAGTACTTTTATAAGTAAAAGAAAGCCGAAACAAAAGAGTCAAGCTACTAATAACGATAGAATTCGAAATGAGAAATTTGAAAGGAATTTATCGATTGGTAAATTATTTTTTATAATATATATAATTATTAATCACAACTATTAAGCACCTTTACAAAATGCAAAAG